TACTTTTCTCTAAATTATTTTCAGAAATATAAAACAGAGATTATAATACTTTTTAAATGAAAAACAGTTTTTGTAGGACGAATTTAAAAACTGTTTATAATTAGGTAAAAAAATCCATTAAAAAATAATTAAGTCGGCAATTTGATTCTGATTTTTCTTGTTGTACTAGGGATAACGTCTATTCCTGTCTGCACAGTCTATATCTTAAACATTCTTACTCCATAAATACTCAAATTTTTTATATATATATATATATATATATATATATATATATATATATATAAAAATAAATGTGGTCCTACAAAAAGAAATTCAAAAGGTAAAAAAAAAATTAACAATAATAATAATAATAATAAAAATAATATTTATGGAAAAAAATGAAGTTGAAGATTTTTTTCGGGGGAATTTTTTTATGCTTGTGTTACATTACTGATAAAATCTAGTCATTCTGGGTTGCTGGTTGTTTGTTCTGATTAGTTTTGTAGAAGGCTTTTCATAGAAACTCTATTCATTGTAGACCTAATTCCTATTTAAAGCTAGGATGTGAGAATTTAGTTTAAAAATGGATTTTAACTTGGATGCAGCTAAAGTGAAATTGATGTTGTCTTTCATGTTAAATATATATATATATATATATATATATATATATATATATACACCCAAGTATAGGATTGGTGTATATGGAATAAATTCCAATAGCCAACACGTACTATTCTTAAAAGAGTGCTCAATACAGACTAGAGCAAATACAATTATGTATTCAAAAATTATAACATAAGTATGTTGTAAAATGACTACAAAAATAGCCATTGTGCTTCAGCACTTCTGGTGTCTTATCAAGTGATGGTGTTGAATATAGAATAAAGCTTTATTCTACATTCAAGACCATCACTTGATAAGACACCAGAAGTGTTGAAACAAAATGGCTATTTTGTAGTCATTTTATAACATATATATGTTATAATTTTGAATGAATAATATATATATATATATATATATATATATATATATATATATATATATATATATATATATATATACACACACACACACAAGTATAGAATTGGTGTATATGGAATAAATTCCAATAAACAAAAATGCTATTCTTATTATATCTTTTCTGCTACCAGCTATTTCGGCACCATAACCATGGTGAAGGTGTGCATAAGCAGGGATATGATAAAGCCATTTACTGGCGAGGGGAGATGTAGTAGTGTCGTTGAAAAAGGTAAGGCTGGTGGCGAGATTTCAGCTGGTGGATGATGATGTCGCTAGTTTGCTGCCATTGTATCTGGACGGCGACACACAAGCCATCTACATGGAGATGGATGAAGACAATCAAAGGGATGTCAATAAGATAGAAGCCTGGTTGAAGGAGGCGTTTTCTGATGGTGCGTTTACAGCCTACAGGAAGCTTATCCTGGTCAGGTGGCCTGGTGAGCAGGTAGACAGGTAGATGTTTACGCGAACAGGATCAGGCAGTTGGCCGGATTCGAGGGAGTTGGGCTGTAAAGGCTCACCAAACTTGCTTTCATCACTGGGTTCCCTGATGCCATCTCCATCGGACTTCAACAGGCTCCAAACATTGACACCCTATCTATGGCGGACCTGAACCTGATAGCAAGAGCACGACTACTGATGACAGCTGGAAACCAAAGTCATGGGGTGGTCGCAGCTGTGTGCCCACCTCGCAGTAATACCGTGGCCCCTACCAAGAGCGGGTCCCAGCACCAGTGTAACCTGCTACAAGTGCAGTGGCTAAGGTCACACAGCAAAGGATTGCAAAAGGCGTGGAACATGTTGCTATCGATGCATCGAGATTGGGCTCTGGACTGTCCAGGAAACGACCTAGGAGATGAGGCATCAGTGCCAGCCTTCTCCCCCACCAAAATGTAAACGTGGCGCTCTCAGAGATGAACATTTACGTTGACGGGACGTGGTGTTCGGCACTAATCGACATTGGTTGCTTGCGGACAATAGTAGATGTAGATTAGACGTCAGGATGATTGCAAGTACATCCAATGCGTGTTGTGTCAATATATTCACTGCCAAAGTTGATGTTCTGGTGATGCGTGGCAAACCATGCTGTTTTGACCTGCTGTTGGGGATTGATGCAATAAAAGCAATGGGAGGCGTTGCCGTTGAACCAACAGGATCAGCACAGATCGGCGACGGGAAGGTCACTATGTGTGCAGCCATTTCCATCAATGAATCTGATTTCACCGCCACCTTCGACCATCAGAGCTGAATGTGGACTGAAGTGGTCAGAGTACTGCGCACTGGAAGGACTGAAAAATAGAGTGTCAGAATATCTGGTAGCTGCAGAGATCCGAGACGACTATGAGTGGGAGCTCCACATATGGATAGATAATGGTTGGCTTGTTCCATACCCAGAAGGAAGGCTGGGGCCTCCCAAAGTGTTAATTCCTCTGATGGCCATACTGCAGCAGAACAAAGAAAAGGTGCGTCCTGTGATGGACTACTGGGAGCTCAACCACCATGTTTATGCGTTCACTGCTAACGCAGATGTCTGTGCAGCTAAACCATGTGAATGGCGGCAGAAAGGTTTGAACATATCTCTTGGAACTCAGGAGAGCATACCTTCAAGTATATATCCACAAGACTTTGTGGCCATTCCAGACCATAAAGTTTGAAGCGAAGCGGTACTGCCTGACACGTTTGGGGTTTGGTCTAAATGTGACACCCTTTATCATGAAGGCTATTGTCAGCACAGTGATGTCACAGGAAGAAGATATTGACTGTGCGGCATCAGCTTACATCAATGACATTTATGTCAACGAAGATGTTGTTCCTGTGATCCACGTCAGAGAACACTTGGCTCAATATGGACTGGAATGCAAAGATCCAGAAAGGTTGGAGGATGGTGCACGGGTGCTGGGATTGACCGTTGGAATGGAACACAGAATTGCGGTGGAAGCATGGTCCCAGAAGCTCCTGACATCATTACATGATGAACCATGTTCTCCTTGTGTGGGAGGCTTGTCGGGCACCTCCCGGTGTGTGAGTGGCTTCATGTGACTTGTGGAGTTATCAAGAGGAGAGCCAGTGTGGTCACGAAGGGCTGGGATGATGAAGTGAAGGACACTCTCCTCCAGCATATGATGTGTGAGACTGTGGATGCAGTGAGGTGGAATCATCTGGCTTGCGGGGATTGGTGTGTGGACAGTTGGGAGCTAAACGTGTGGGTCAACACAAGTTCTTTAGCAATTGGTGTGGTGTTGGAGAGGCATGGGACTGTGCTAGAAGACGCTTGTTGGCTGCGACCTGAAAACGATGCCCAACATATAAACCTGGCCGAACCATGTTAAAAGGCATTAACTTAGCTCTCCAATGGCAGAGCAATGTGCTGCACATCAAAATGGACTCTCTCTGTGTGTACCACTGGGTATCACTCTTACTGGGAAGGCGCGAGTGCATATCAAGGCAGCAAGCGAGATGCTCATCAGAAGATGGTTGAGTACACTCAAGGAACTAGTAACGGAGTACGAGCTGACTGTGGACGTGATGTTGGTTGCATCACCTGAAAACATGGCCGACCAACTGACCAGGGTGCCGCAGTGATGGTTTAATGTGATGAAGAGAGAAAATGGACCTGGGCCATTGATCGGTGCTGTCCATGTGGATGAGCAGGACGTGAGTCAAATCCTGTCAACACACAGGAATAGTGGGCACTCGGGAATACGGCACACCACTTACTTCATCAGGAAAGTTTGCCCAGCAATAACAAAAGCAGCAGTTAAATCAGCCATATAGGGGTGCAAAGAATGCCAATCGATAGACCCAGCACCAGCTTGCTGGAAGAAGGGAAAGCTGGAGGTGAACAAGAATTGGCGGAGGTTAGGAATGGACATAACGCATTTTGATTCACGCCATTTCTTAACCCTCACAGACTGCGGGTAGTCGCGTTTCTCCATTTGGAAGCTGTTTTCAAGGCAAGACACAGCAAGTCTAATTTGGCATCTGGAGACAGTGTTCTTTGAGTGTAGCCCACTATGTGAGCTTCTTGTGGAAAATGACACAGCCTTTTGCAGCAGGGAGTTCAGAAATTTTGTGCAGGAGTGGGGAATAAGCCTGCAATTCCATTGCACTTACGCTCCAGCTGGGAATGGCATAGCAGAGTGATGACACCGTTCAGTGAAACGAATTGCAGCCAGGATGTGCTGTTCTATCCAAGAGGCTGTCTACTGGTACAATGTGACCCTGAAAGATGACCACACACACTTGACCGCACCGGCAAATGTGATTTATGATATGAAGTCTGGGTGGGAGGGGTTGATGTTCCTGGTTGTAGCACTTACAAGGTCGGTGATCGGGTGTGGCTCAAGACTCTGCAAAGTCGGTGTAACACAAAATTCGGTAGGGGGCAAGTAACGAAGATAATTAGCCTGCAGTCCTGTCTAGTGAACGGAATGCCCCACCATGTGAAAGACATGCGCCCACATTGCAATGTTAGCACCTCAGAGGAAGACTCCGACAGTACAACATCTTCAGAAATTGAGTCTGAGAGTCTGTTTCATGAAAACGGAAATTCGGAGACGGACAATTCACCTAAAGAGGAAGCAGAACCACCCTCCCCGTCATTGTGAAGAAGCACCCGGTGAAGATAATCACTGCCAAGCTGCCACATTTGTGATCAGGAGATCAGGGGGGAGTGTGGAGAATTACCTCATAAGTGCAAGAATAGCCTAGCCTATATGTGCGAGCAAACTGTGATGCAGACTCTCCGAGCACTGGTGTTGGAATGACAAGGCACATACGTCAGTGTGTCAGATCAAGGCTGGCAGTGTGCCCATTATGCAAATTCTCTGGCTTGGCAAGAACGTATAAAAAGGTTAGTTCTTGTGGAGTCGGCACAACAATTTTTGTGTGTTAATCGTAATTTACGGCATTGCGTACTAGACCAGAATTTCTTGTGAAGGTGTTTCTAGTGTCTTGGCTACTGAATTACATCTTTTCTGCTACAGAAGGGAAAGTGGAAATTAAGTAGAGAGAGAGAGTGTGGAAATTAAATGGGGAGAGAGAGTGTGGAAATTAAATGAGGAGAGAGAGTGTGGAAAGTAAGTGGAGAGAGAGAGAGTGTGGAAAGTAAGTGGAAGAGAGAGAGCGTGGAAAGTAAGTGGAAAGAGAGAGAGCTTGGAAAGTAAGTGGAAAGAGAGAGAGAGAGAGCTTGGAAAGTAAGTGGAAAGAGAGAGAGAGAGAGAGCTTGGAAAGTAAGTGGAAAGAGAGAGAGAGCTTGGAAAGTAAGTGCAGAGAGAGAGAGCTTGGAAAGAGAGAGAGTGGAAAAGAGAGAGAGAGCTTGGAAAGTAAGTGGAAAGAGAGAGAGAGCTTGGAAAGTAAGTGGAAAGAGAGAGAGAGCTTGGAAAGTAAGTGGAAAGAGAGAGAGAGCTTGGAAAGTAAGTGGAAAGAGAGAGAGAGCTTGGAAAGGAAGAGCTTGGAAAGTAAGTGGTGGGAGAGAGAGCTTGGAAAGTAAGTGCAGAGAGAGAGAGCTTGGAAAGTGGAGAGAAAGAGAGCTTGGAAAGTAAGTGGTGGGAGAGAGAGCTTGGAAAGTAAGTGCAGAGAGAGAGAGCTTGGAAAGTGGAGAGAAAGAGAGCTTGGAAAATGGAGGGAGAGAGAGAGAGCTTAGAAAGTGGAGAGAGAGAGAGCTTGGAAAGTGGAGAGAGAGAGCATGGAAAGTAAGTGCAGAGAGACAGAGCTTGGAAAGTAAGTGGCGAGAGTGAGAGAGCTTGGAAAGTAAATGGAGAGAGAGAGAGCATGGAAAGTGGAGAGAGAGAGAGAGAGAGCCTGGAAAGTGGAGAGAGGGAGCTTAGAAAGTAAGTGGTAGGGAGAGAGAGCTTGGAAAGTGGAGAGAGGGAGGAAAGGGGGGGAGAGAGAGCTTGGAAAGTAAGTGGAGGAGAGAAAGAGAGAGCTGGAAAGGAGGAGAGAGAGGGAGAGAGCTTAGAAAATGGAGAGAGAGAGAGAGCTTGGAAAATGGGGAGAGAGAGAGAGAGAGCTTGGAAATGAGAGAGAGAGAGAGCTTGGAAAATGGAGAGAGAGAGAGAGAGTTGGAAAGTGGGAGAGAGAGAGGGAGAGAGCTTGGAAAGTGGAGAGAGAGAGAGAGGGAGAGAGCTTGGAAAGTGGGAGAGAGAGGAGAGAGCTTGGAAAGTGGAGAGAGAGAGCGAGAGCTTGGAAAATGGAGAGCGAGGGAGAGAGCTTGGAAAATGGAGAGAGAGAGCTTAGAAAGTGAAGAGAGTGTGAGATTGGAAAATAGAGAGAGACAGAGAGCTTGGAAAGTGGAGAGAGAGCATGGAAAGTAAGTGGAGCGAGAGAGAGAGAGAGAGCTTGGAAAATGGAGAGAGGGAGAGAGAGCTTGGAAAGTAAGTGCAGAGAGAGAGAGACAGAGCTTGGAAAGTAAGTGCAGAGAGAGAGAGCTTGGAAAGTAAGTGGAGAGAGAGAGAGAGCTTGGAAAGTGGAGAGAGAGAGCATGGAAAGTAAGTGGAGAGAGAGTGAGAGCTTGGAAAATGGAGAGAGGGAGAGCATGAAAATAGAGAGAGAGAGTGAGAGAGCTTGGAAAATGGAGAGAGAGAGCTTGGAAAGTGGAGAGAGAGAGAGCATGGAAAGTAAGTGGAGAGAGAGAGCTTGGAAAATGCAGAGAGGGAGAGAGAGAGAGAGCTTGGAAAATGGAGAGAGAGAGCTTGAGAATAGAGAGCTTGGAAAGTAAGTGGAGAGAAAGAGAGCTTGGAAAGAAAGTGGAGAGAAAGAGAGCTTGGAAAGAAAGTGGAGAGAAAGAGAGCTTGGAAAGAAAGTGGAGAGAAAGAGAGCTTGGAAAGAAAGTGGAGAGAAAGAGAGCTTGGAAAGAAAGTGGAGAGAAAGAGAGCTTGGAAAGAAAGTGGAGAGAGAGAGAGAGCTTGGAAAGAAAGTGGAGAGAGAGAGAGCTTGGAAAGAAAGTGGAGAGAGAGAGAGAGCTTGGAAAGAAAGTGGAGAGAGAGAGAGCTTGGAAAGAAAGTGGAGAGAGAAAGAGCTTGGAAAGTAAGTGGAGAGAGAAAGAGACCTTGGAAAGTAAGTGGAGAGAGAGAGAGAGCTTGGAAAGAAAGTGGAGAGAGAGCTTGGAAAGAAAGTGGAGAGAGAGAGAGCTTGGAAAGAAAGTGGAGAGAGAGAGAGCTTGGAAAGAAAGTGGAGAGAGAGAGAGCTTGGAAAGAAAGTGGAGAGTGAGAGAGAGAGTTTAGAAAGTGGAGAGAGAGAGAGAGCTTGGATACTAAGTGGAAAGAGATAGAGAGCTTGGAAAGTAAGTAGAGAGAGAGAGCTTGGAAAGTAAGTGGAGAGAGGGAGAGCTTGGAAAGCAAGTGGAAAGAGGGTGAGCTTGGAAAGTAAGTGGAAAGAGAGCTTGGAAAGTAAGTGGATAGAGAAAGACAGCTTGGAAAGTGGAGAGAGAGAGCTTGGAAAGTAAGTGGAGAGAGGGAGAGCTTGGAGAGTAAGTGGAAAGAGGGAGAGCTTGGAAAGTAAGTGGAAAGAGAGCTTAGAAAGTAAGTGGAAAGAGAGAGAGAAAGAGCTTGGAATGTAAGTGGAGAGAGAGAGAGAGCTTAGAAAGTGGGAGAGAGAGAGAGAGCTAGAAAGTGGAGAGAGAGAGAGCTTAGAAAGTGGAGAGAGAGAGAGAGCTAGAAAGTGAGAGAGAGAGAGAGATAGAAAGTGGAGAGAGAGGGAGAGAGCGAAAGTGGGAGAGAGAGGGGAGAGCTTGGAAAATGGAGAGAGAGAGAGCTTAGAAAGTGGAGAGAGAGAGAGAGAGCTTAGAAAGTGGAGAGAGAGAGCTTAGAAAGTGCAGAGAGAGAGAGAGTTGGAAAGTGGGAGAGAGAGAGAGAGAGAGCTTGGAAAGTGGAGTTAGAGAGCTTGGAAAATGGAGAGAGAGATGGAGAGAGCTTGGAAAGTGAAGAGAGAGATGGAGAGAGCTTGGAAAGTGGGGAGAGAGAGAGCATGGAAAGTAAGTTGAGAGAGAGAGAGCATGGAAAGTAAGTTGAGAGAGAGAGAGCATGGAAAGTAAGTTGAGAGAGAGAGAGCATGGAAAGTAAAGAGAGAGAGAGAGTGAAAGTAAGTGGAGAGAGAGAGAGCAAAAAAGTTTAAGTGGAGAGAGAGAGAGCATGATCTGACCAAAAAAGCTGAAGTGGAGAGAGAGAGAGCATGGAAAAAAAGTGGAGAGAGAGAAAAACAAAAAAAAAGTGGAGAGAGAGATAGAGCTTGGAAAATGGAGAGCATAAATAGCTTGGAAATTAAGTGGAGAGAGAAAGAGACAGAGCTTGGAAATTAAATGGAGAGAGAGACAGAGCTTTTTTAGGCAGAGAGAGAGAGAGGACAGAGCTTGTGTATTGTAAGTGCAGAGAGAGAGAGAGGACAGAGCTTGGAAATTTAAGCAGAGAGGAGGAGAGTGACAGAGCTTGGAATTTTTTGAGAGAGAGAGAGAGAGAGAGGACAGAGCTTTATTTTACATGCAGAGAGAGAGAGAGAGAGGACAGAGCAATTCAAAAAAAAGTGCAGAGAGAGAGAGAGAGAGCTGGAAATTGGAGAGAGAGAGAGAGTTTGGGTTGGAGGGAGAGAGAAAAAAAAAGTGGAGAGAGAGAGAGACAGAGCTTGGAAATGAATTGGAGAGAGAGAGACAAGCTTGAAATTAATTGGAGAGAGAGAGAGAGGACAGAGCTTGGAAAGGCAAGTGGAGAGAGAGATTTTTTGGAAATTAAGTGGAGAGAGAGAGAGAGACAGAGCTTGGAAATTAAGTGGAGAGAGAGAGAGAGAGACAGAGCTTGGAAATTAAGTGGAGAGAGAGAGAGATAATTGTATTGGAAATTGGTTGGAGAGAGAGAGACAGAGCTTGGAAATTAAGTGGAGAGAGAGAGAGAGTGACAGAGCTTGGAAAGTAAGTGGAGAGAGAAAGCTTGGAAAGTGGAGAGAGAGAGAGAGAGACTGGGAAAGGGAGAGAGAGAGAGCTGATATGTGGAGAGAGAGAGAGAGAGAGAAAGAGAGAGAGAGAGCTTGGAAAATAGAGAGAGAGAGAGAGCTTGGAAAGGAGAGAGAGCTTGGAAAGTGGAGAGAGAGATAGAGAGCTTGGAAAGTGGAGAGAGAGATAGAGAGCTTGGAAAGTAAGTCGAAAGAGAGAGAGCTTGGAAAGTAAGTCGAAAGAGAGAGAGCTTGGAAAGAAAGTGGAGAGAGAGAGAGAGCTTGTAAAGTAAGTGGAGAGAGAGAGAGTGCTTGGAAAGTAAGTGGAGAGAGAGAGAGAGCTTGGAAAGTAAGTGGAGAGAGAGAGAGACCTTGGAAAGTAAGTGGAGAGAGAAAGAGACCTTGGAAAGTAAGTGGAGAGAGAGAGAGACCTTGAAACAAGTGAGAGAGAGAGAGACCTTGGAAAGTTGGGTTCAAGAGAGAGAGAGAGAATTGAGTGAAAAAATTAGAGAGACCCTTTTGGGAGGGTTAGGGCGAGAGAGAGAACTTGGAATGCTTAGAGAGAAAAAGCTTAAAAAGTGGAGAGAAAGAGAGAGCTTGCAATAAAAGACTTTGGAAGAGAGAGAGAGAGCTGATCAACAAAAAAAGTGGAAAGAGAGAGAGAATTCTTGGAGAGAGAAAAATCTTTCCAAATGGTGAGAGGGAGAGAAAAAAAGTAATTTGAGAGAGGGAGAGAGAAAAAAAGAAATGGAGAGAGAGAGAGAAAAAAAAAAGTGAAGAGAGAGAGAGAAAAAAAAAAAAGAGAGAGAGAGAAAAAAAAGAAATGGAGAGAGAGAAAAAAGAAATGGAGAGAGAGAAAAAAAAGAAATGTGGAGAGAGAGAGAAAAAAAGAAATGGAGAGAGAGAGGGAGAAAAAAATGGAGAGAGAGAGGGAAAGCTTGGAAAATGGAAAGAGAAAGAAAAAAAAATGGAGAGAGAGAGAAAAAAAGAAAGGGAGAGAGAGAGAGAAAAAAAGTGGAGAGAGAGAGAGAAAAAAAAAAAGTGGAGAGAGAGAGAGCTTGGAAATAAGGAGAGAGAGAGAGAGCTTGGGAAAAAAGTGGAGAGAGAGAGACTTGAAAAGTAAGTGGAAAGAGAGAGAGAAAAAAAAGTGGGAGGAGGAGAGAGCTTGGAAAGTGGAGAGAGAGAGAGAGAGAGAAAGAGAGAAAAAAAAATGGAGAGAGAGAGAAAAAAAGTGGAAACAGAGAGAATGAGAGCTTGGAAAATGGAGAGAGAGAGAGAGAGAGAGCTTGGAAAGTAAGTGGAGAGAGAGGGAATGGAATGTAAGGGGAGAGAGAGGGAATGGAATGTGGGGGGGAGAGAGAGGGAATGGAATGTAAGGGGGAGAGAGAGGGAATGGAATGTAAGGGGGAGAGAGAGGGAATGGAATGTAAGGGGGAGAGAGAGGGAATGGAATGTAAGGGGGAGATAGAGTCAATAAAAAGATATGAGATGAAGATCAAGACCAAATATGAGAGAAACAGAGACTGGGAAAGATAAGTAAATAAATAGTAAAATGAAATATGGTGAGATATCTGCTGCAGCAAGTTTTATTTTCATTCATGTTTTGAGTGAACAAGTTTGTTCCGTTATCATCCCTTAGAAATTTATTGAAAATGAAAGATTCACTCTTGATTGAATATATAAATGGATTAGAGGGAGAATGAAGAAAACTTTATCTTTTTCCTCGTCTTGAGATTGGACATTGTTTTCTCCATCATTCAGAATGGTGGCTGATAAATACAGTTTGGCTGATATTTCTATAGCAGAAGATAAATGACTATACTCTTCAGTTCACAATCGATGTTGTCATTCATCTTCGCAACTTACAAAATAACAAAATCTGTCTGTCAACAAGACAGGTATAATTAACCTTTTGAACTGCTTTTGATTTTAATATCTTAAGATTAGAAGATTAAGCCATTCACAATAGAACCTTTAGAATGGTGTAAGGTGTAAAGGAATAGAAAATGGAATCGGCAAATAAGGTTTAAATTCTAGCTAATGCTGTCTAATACCCTTTGAAAATGTATGATTCCACTTCTACTTGCATCCTCTGTTAGATATTTTGACAAAATGTCTTGTCACTGGTATACCACAAAGATTAACAGAGAAGACAGTGGGTAAGTGTGCACTTGAACAAATTCCTCTCGTATTACCTTACCTACCCACACAAAAAGTAAAATGCTTTTTTATCACTAAAGACAACCTTCCGAGGAGCAAATCCTAGAAATATTAATTTAAGAGTTTTCTGAATTGTGTATATTTTATAAAAAAATGTTTGGGGCATTTCTGATTTCTTAAAGCAAAAATACAGGTTTATTAAAACTTTGAGATTTAATATAATAAATACTAAAAAGAAAGTGAAAAGCATAAAAATGCAGAGAATGCTGCTTGTCTGTCAGGCAATAATGGAGAAGTGTTGATTGATTTCTGATATGGCAATAAAAAATTCCTATTTTTTATGTTCATTGTGGAATGATACATAATTTATTTTTAATTTCATGCTGCAATTATTAATATTCATCTGTAAAGTGTTAATATTTTTCAGTTTATCATAAATCCTAAAATATCATTGGTGGTAAAACTTTTGCAGAAATAATATTTGCAATATGATACTTGGTAAAAAGTTATTGTATATTCCTTTACAAAATACATAATATCAGAATCAAGTTTGAATGTTATCTAAAAAAAGGTGAATTTGCAAATTTTTAAAAAAATGTGATCTTCATTTGTGTTGTTTTGATTTGCTATATATTTCAGTTTTCCTCAGGTGTATTGTTTACATACTTTTAACATTTCTGACAGTCACAAGATTAAGTGCAAAAGAGCCATTATAATGTTAAATTTGAAAAGCAGAATCCATTCTTATCAAGGAATTCGTTATTTTATTATTTTGAGTTTGAAAATAAATTTAATGACAACTTTTTGTTTTATTGTTACCTTTCTGAATTGAAAATCTTGATAGAGAAATGTGATGTGTGAGCCTACAAAGTTGAAGAACTGAAATGTCAATTTTAATTTAAATGGCTGCTTTATCAACAATGAAATGTCTGAGAGCAGATAAGACATAAGCCAAAAAGCAATCATGCAGAACAGATTGTTTTACAATTCAAAGAACTCAATAAATAGAAAATTTGGGCTATTATAAAAATGTTTGGCATTTTTCTATCACCCCTTATCCCCATCTCCATTTACATTAGTAAACTGACATTGTCACACTGTGGCACCATATATGTGTGACACTATATCATTGCATGTGTGTGGCATTATGTCACTGCATGTGTGAAGAATTTTCTCTATGAGCTACTATGTTACTTGTTAAAAACAAAAGCAGAAACATTATAGATATTCCTAATGTGGAAGTTGTGAAGTTTTGATTCACTGAAACTATAAAAATTCACAATCAGATATAAAAAGACAAAAAATAAGCACTTAAAAATGATTTTGTATTACTGTGTGACTAAGATAAACAGACTTGTAGCCAAATTGAAATTGATGATGATGATGTAAGAACCAATAAATGAAGACTAATTCATTTGGTACTATGATGCATAACTTGATCAGGATATTAGTAAATGAACTGGGAACAATTACAGATCAAATATGGCTCAGAATCTGACAGAATGATAGGATATAGAAAAAAAATAGGAAATGTTTATCAATTTAATGTTTCACTTTTATTAAAGCTTCATCAGAGAATAAGACAAAAAGAAGAAAGAAATTCTGGTATTATTATGTGTTTATTTGTGTTGTTTGATTTTCATTAGATAAACTGGCCTTAATGTGCATTTGACTTATTAAGCTGCATTATTATAATTTATAGCATTCTGAACTCAAGGAGAGATGATGTGCTTTTCCAAGCCCCAAAAGATTAATGGATTCCAAGCCTAACTGAATAAAAAAACACTAATTTTGCTTCATGTATATAAGTGTATCATAATTCTAATTTGTCTATGTGTGATTTGGATGATAATGTATGCGTGTGTGTAGTAGTAGACATTATTTATGTTTGGTGGTTGTCTGCATTTTGATTTGGGGACATTTTTACAGAAACATTGGTTGTGGTAAATAAATATAAAATATTCTTTAAAAATGAATTTAATAAATGTTGGTGATATAGTGTTTTTGACATGTATTTATATTTGGTAAAATATTTATAAGGATTAAAAAATATTTCTAATGTAAAGAATTATGTCCTTTTTTATATAGGGTGGCATTTGTAAAATCAAAGTTATGGCCACTTCTGATCCTGTGAATTACAAGTGAGTTTAAAGGATTGGTCCAATGCAGATCCCTTTTATGCCTGTGTCTATGTTGCCAGTAAATAATGGACAATTTCCTCACAGATGACTTGGATCAACTGAGATATAACTCTACCGAAAGATAACGAGAATACCATGAATGGCGCATGTAAGCAATGGGGAAATCTTAAGGAAAATTGAAACAAAAAGGGCACTTATACATAGAATTAGAGACACATAATGAGTCTTGAAGAATTTGTTACTCACAAGACCCATTGAAGCCAAGAGGAGCAAAGCTAATAACCCTACCTTAATGGAGTTGTACAAATGGATGGCAGAACATGAACTGGGATGCAAGATAGTAAGGGTACATGAACTTTGTTTAGAGCTAAAGGATAGAAAATTGTATAAAGCCATGATTGCACATGTTCTGAATGTCTATGTAGTTGTGAATGCTGGACAATTTCCTCACAAATGAAGAGACTTGAAGCAACAGAGATGTGGTTCTACTGATGACTCCTGAGAATACCATGGACAACATGTGAGCCAAAAGGGGAAGAGTTTTTAAAAATAATAGGAACAAGTAAACTTATATTTACAACCAGAAAAAGGTGAAATTTCTGGAACATATAATGAAAAAAGATGCCCTTGAGAATCTAACAATCACAGGGCAAGCTGAAGCAACAATGGTGAGTATAACAAGCATACAGAAGTATAGTAAAAGATCAAAATTTACTTACAGCAACAAAAAAGGAAGCTGTGAAGAGCCATGATCACCTACCTAATGGGTTTATGTGAATGGATAGTATAACAAGGATAATGGTAATATTAGGCATTAACTTCCAATGAAACATTTGGCATTCGTTGAGAAGCCAGTACTACTGTCAGTTGAAATTTATAAAATCTTTGTCTTAAAATAATCTTTCTGGAAAATAAGTTTCTCAAGTCCTGTAGCTATTTTCACTCTCTCCATTATTGATAGATGTTTCCTTCCTAACCATTTATTTGAAGTGGTGTGTAATATCAACATCATGATTATATCATTATTTTCTCTTCAAGTTACATGTAATATCTATTTTGGTTGTTGTTGCTGCTGTTAAAAATCCTCAAGTGATGTGGTTTTTATTATTTGTTACAGTTCTTTATTAGTGATTCTACAGTGCCAGTCCACAACATTTGAAGAAGGATAATCTTTGCCAAGTTTTACAGGCTTCACTTGCTTAAAGTCATTTTTAACCATTGTTCTGAGACAGTAGTTATATACAGTTGATAGTTTAGATATTTCTGAATGGGTTTGGTACCATATGTGACATTCATCTGAAAGTTTTGATCTGATGAGGCTATTTAAGAACATGACACGAATTTTCAGTTTAATGTTTGATTTAGTAGCAACTTGTGGTGTTGTGCAAAACTACCCCTTGCGGATCTTATTCTAGCTTCAATTTCCTTACTGTCTAAACTAAATTTCTTATAACTGATCCATACACTGAGGTATTTGAAAGTTTTGGTCTTTGCTAAAAGCACATTCTGAATTTTTATGATAAATTCAGTTTGTGTGCAATCACTGCTTTCATTACAATTTCAGACCATCGTTTCTATTTTGGAAAAATTTATTTCTTGGAACACTTGGGAGAAGATGTTGATTTTCTGCTCAAGCAAAATTACTTAGAGCAAAAAAACGACAGGAAGTTGTAAAATTCTATGATTGCCCATATCCTAAAAGGACTTGGCACATAAAAAGGTTTCTGCATAGTGTCAAAATCTGCAATGAATTTGATAATCTATATTCAACAAGTCATACATGTCACTTCTTTCACTTTGCTGATTTTCAATTGAAATTCTGTGTATTAATTTAATCTTATTCCAGAAAAGACTTTGCATTCCTATTCATCTCAACATTTATTCTGCTAATACCTGATTCAGTTATCTTTGTCCTAGTTCATGACTTTCTACTGTTCCTTCAGTTTGATATTTTTAAAGTGGATTCTTTGCTTTCACTGCTTCAACTGCATGAGAGTCAGATATGCAACCTTTGGTTATATTTTTTGTGGAGGATTGACCTTTATGTGAAGGTTGTGTAGTTTTATAATGAAAGGCTATCCAGATATTACACAAGCTAAATTACTCTTTGGATCTTTTTGTCTTTTTTTTATGTAGATAAACAGTATAATTCACTTCTGATAAGATATGTTTA